TAAATCAAGGCTTTTTTGGCAATAACAGAGAAACACATAAACAAAGCTCCAGTGGTTTGCTTATGTTAGTAAAACCCACAGACAAAAATACTGCCTTAAATTATCTCCTTTGTGGGTGCAGTATATTATAGTTTATAAAGGAAATAAAAGGACTGTTGTGTCTGACTTCCATTTCCCTCTCTCCCTTCCTCTGCTAAACCGTACATGGAATGCTTGCACTATGCAACGCAACTCTGCAAGCTAAAGGAGCAGCGAAAAAAAATCTCAATTCCACTGAGGTCAGAAAGAGAGTTTACTTTGGAATTTAACACAAGGAACGGTTTTCGTGCGGCAAAATTCTTCTTAAAATCATCTGTAGTCCTCCTCTACTGAAGGTCCACGTGCAAGTAATCCTCGAGGTGTGACTGCAATTGAACCCTGCAATTACAGTTCTAAGCTGTGACGGTTGTAAAGTGGGTCACCACCTGACTGAATCCGATTTTATGACCTATTTTGCAGCAGTCATTAAGTGAACCAACTGTTGCTATGGGCTGCTTCCCCCCCCCTCTGGAAACTGGAAATAAATGTCGGTTACTGGCAAAAATGTCATAAATTGTGCTCATGTGACCATGGGGCGCTTCAAATGGCCGTAAATGTGGATCGGTTGCTGAGGACCCAAAATGTGATCACGTGACTGTGCCTCCCCCAGATGTTGGAACTTTGAAACCGGATCCTAAGTATTTCCAGGAGTGGGGGAAATCCATGGTAACACAAAACAGTTGTTAAGTAACCGGTTGTAAGTCAAGGACTACCTGCATAAGCAAAATTGTACAATGTACCCCACCATCAGCCCAAGGCACCATAGCTTGAAAAAAATTAGGGGGAAACAGATCGTTTGAAATCCATATAGGCATTTGCCTACAACACGTGCAAAGCTAACTAGAGAGTTTCCACAATAACTGCATGGGCCAGTTGTCTGGCAGCTTTACATATATGAGGCGCCATCATGGTTAAGCTTTAGAGTAGGTGTGGGGAGATTCAGGCTGTTGTTTGAAAATGTGCCCACCTGCCTAGAAGAAAAGCCAAAGGTAAGCTGAGACTGACCATGAATATCTTGGGGGGAAAAGGAAGGATGACAGATAGCAATTTCACCAATTTGCTTTCTGCTAAATTGGAATTTGGTGAAGCTGAAGCAACCCTGCCAGCCATTTTTCTGACTACTATTTTGCGCTTTATTATTATGCATCGTGGTATTCTATTGTTTTAATCTTATAGTCAACTGTATCTTCATTATGGGCCCTAATGAGACGCACTCGCAAGAGCCCTAAAGTTGGAAACCTTGATAAAACTGGCTCCTGAATGCTGTAAAGATTTCCAAACACATGAGCCATATTTGCTCACTACTCCTTTTTGTATCTTTTGTGCTAAACGTGGGGGGATTTGTACACAGAAAAACACCAGAGTGAAGTTTGAACGTGCCCCTATAACCCTTCCCCCATTTGGATCTTCTTGAATTACATAAACTTTAGGAGAGGAAATAGAAGAAATGTTTCCATGCAATCGAGAGGTTTTTAAAAAAACCCAGTGTTACGATGTTAATAAGAAACAAACAGATATGGGATGGAAGACACTCTGATCCAGGGGTAGTCAACCTTGGCTCTTTTATGACTCGTGGACTTCAACTCCCAGAATTCCTGAGCCAGCTAAGCTGGCTCAGGAATTCTGGGAGTTGAAGTCCACGAGTCATAAAAGAGCCAAGGTTGACTACCCCTGCTCTGATCGATGTTAAATTCACATTTTTTTGACAATGCCCCAATGGCCTGTGTTGCCCAACGTGTTGTTACTCAAAGACACTCCCTGTGTACTCACTCATTGGTAAGAAGTGGAATATCATTCTTTCCTTCTTTATTTGTCATTATATCCCTTTTGATACCATTCATCCTTCCAGAGTTGTCTTTGGCCAGAAGATCAAAAACTTCATTATTATACACTTCTACAACAGAAACCTCAACCAAATGGCTTCCTGGTGACTTTTCTGAAAGAAGCCTGAAAGAAGAAAAAGGGCTTAAAAGACTGAAATTAAACAAAAACAAAAACAAAAAACAACCTAAGTAAGCTATGCTTGTGATCCAGCAGATTATTACTGCTTGAACGGATACCCAAAGTCCATAATCTTTGGATACTCGTTGCTTTTCTGAGATAGCTGAGCTGTTCTAAAATGTGATTCAAACTATTTATGCACTGCTTATTCTGTAACATGCTGTAGAGCTCTGCAAATTTAATGGAATGTGTGGATGATCTTGGGGAGGAAGAGGAAGAGATGGAAACATTCAGATAAGAGAGACAGGAGCTCGCAGTGGCTTAGCAGTCAGAGATAGAAACTTAGGAAAGAGTCTAATGCAGGGGTCTTCAAACTTGGCCCTTTTATGACTTGTGGACTTCAACTCCCAGAATTCCTCAGCCAGTGTGCCTGGCTGAGGAATTCTGGGAGTTGAAGTCCACAAGTCATAAAAGGGCCAAGTTTGAAGACCCCTGCTCTAATGGATCAAGCAGTTAAAAATGGGGGGTGGGAGGTCTGTGCCTTCAGATTTGCAATATTGATATCAACCCTTCCAGACATGACTAGACAAACTAATTTTATTTTATTGTCAGGTTACATTAACAAAATTTTGCAGGAATCTTGTAATAATTGTTATTAATATATTTATTGATAAATACATTACCAGTTTTCTACATTAAGTTGTTGGAAGTAACAGGGTACTATAGATAGACAAAGGAAGACAAGGAAAGCTCATAGGTATTTTACATAGAACTTCCATTTTCGGGCCAAATAGACGCAACAAAATTCAAAGTCTAGTGTACAATTATCATTTCATGTATATATCAGGCTGAATCAAAACAAGGTCTTCCTTGACTAGAAGGCTGCCTAAGAAATCAATTTTTTTTCCAGAACTAGTGGACGATTTCTTTGTATGAAAAAAAGAATTGAAATGTAATAGCATATATCTATCGATTCAAGTTGTTGTATTCAGTCTATAAGATCTCAGAGTTTACATACAAAGTCTCAAGGCATATGCTGCAACAGTTTGCATAAAGAACTGCACAGTTTCAAGGCTCATGCTTAAATTATTGCTATGTCTTCAGTAGGACAACTTGCAGTAAGCATAGCTAGCAGAGTTTCTTCCGCTGACCTATCTCGACATCCAATTCGCTCGCCTCATATTTTTAGCCTATTTGTGTACAAGTTCACTAGTTTCCTTGATAGATAGCAGTTATTTGATCTCTCGTTAATTCAAATGCTCCAGGGTATTTTGTAGAACGTACAGTGCCTGATTCAGAAGTGGAAGGGGCACCCAGCTTCTTGTGCACATCTGCCATTATCCTTTATTAAAAGACTGCTCCCAAATTTCAAAGAACAATCTCATAATTGTAAAAAGAGGAAGCCTATTTGTACAGTAAATATACAAAGCAACGATTGAAAATCACAAAGAATAAGGCATCAATCACCGCAACAGAGACAGACTTGTACAGAAACACTATGCATGAAAAGTGTAAATAATTCTGTATTGAAACTGCAACCATTCGCTGTCAGCTGATTTATTTTATCTAAATATGTTGATAAGTGTTAATTGTCCACTTTCCTGTTTTCTGAATCGGTGTTCACAATTATTTAAATTATAGGCCACAGGAACTATTCAAGTTCCACTCTTTTGCTCTTTTCATGATTTATTGAGAAAAATAAGATCCAGTACAGTAAATGTATTAATGATGCCCATCTGTCATCAGGCCGATGATTACATCACAGCAATTTCCTCATAAAGGCCTTTATGTTCTGTAAGAATCTGCCAAACAACTCTGGAAACTTTCTACTCTTAGACCAATTGTAAAAAAAATCTATTACAATATCCTTTTGAGACATGGGTTTTATTAAGCTTTTTAAAGAATGCACTCTTATTGGTTTCCCCCCCCCCCCCCCCCC